TCTTTTATGAAATAGTGTAAGTGGCACTTCTTATCCGCCGCACTTTTAGCCCCGCTTTAGCCTACTTGATACTGAGAAAAACATGCAAACCTATATTTTCATTCTGACTTTAAAAGAGGAATTTTATATAGAAATGTAATTTTTCATTCTTCTGGTAGTTTTTAGAACTTCTCTAATTTCTCCATCTCCCTCTTCAGATTTACTTAATTCACAATTGAAGTAGAGTTAAACGAAATTGACTTAAATCACCGATATGTAATAACACTAATTGGAAAGCAAAGCAACATTAGAAGTCGTCTTACGTGACTAGATAGGAAGCATTCAACAACGAACGAAGATGCTGAATATACACTTCGCGTGCGCGAACGTGTATACCGGTGTATACACGAAATAAAATATACGCTAATATCATGCATGTATGCGGAAACGAAATTATTCCGCTTCGCTTGCAAATACGTTTCGCCGATGTATACGCGAAATATACGTTGGGATACATGCTCTTATTATATGTATCTGCGATTCTTTTATTCGCCGCGGCTTTGTGCGAAATATTGCGCGGAGCCAGACCGTGGTCTTTCTTCGAATTACGGAACATCCTGTCCATAAAAAGCGACCGCGCGAGAATTTTTAAAAAATCGTAATTGCCCCGGAACCATACGTTTCGGATGCATTTTAGATGCATTTAAAAGAGCACAAGTATCTAGGATTTTTCAACTTTTAGCGAGGGAACGAAAATAATCTTCCACTTAACCTTTATTTTAAACGAGGTTGACTGAATAATTTGGTTTCGTTCGATTCAAAGCTCCCGGAATATATCATCGACTTTTATACTGCAAAAAATGTAGAATTATTAAATAATTTCGAGTAAAATCACGACAAGAGAACGAAATTTGACTTATAAAATGCAATTTTATTTAAATAAAAAATAACAGGAAATCGTGTATGTGTGTGTATATTTGCTTCCATATTTATATATTGTAGGCCGAAGTAATATATTATTTAAATCATTCAGTGTTGATTATATTATATAACTTGTAAATTTGTTTTTCAAAACATCCGTATAATTTGATCGAGGGTACGCGTGGCTTTATCGCGAATCAGTAGTTTTAGTCGTATAAAATGCAATTCTTAAATTTCTCGGTTTCTGTACGACTTACTTATTTTGAGAGAATCGATTTTAATAAATAGAGAGAAAGAGCATAGTTGATCAATGATAAATCGCGATTATTAGCTCTTTTACCTTAACCTGATACGTTTTATATCTCGTGAATTACAGTTAATTAGATTACAGAATTTTGATAGAGCACGGTCGTTACTTAATGCATTCAATTTCATAGTATTTAACATAATATCAAATTTAACTTCCTAAATATGCTAATAAAGTATTTATGAAACACGATAGTCAAACATAAATTAGTTTAAGATAAAAATAAAACGTTTCAAATTGCTTGTCGTTTATAGAAGATGTTTTATCTCCGCAAATTCGACTCGAAACTTGCAGAAACGCTGGAAATTACAAGAAAAGAAACGAGCAATGTTTTCAAACGATCCAATATTCGCGTTCACGAGTATGTTCCACGAGCTCTGATATTATCTTCACGGTCTCTTATCAAGATGCACCATGTGCATTATAATTACCCTGCAATTCTGTGTTCGTCTCTGCTTAAATAAACACGCGATTATACGTACGAAAATATGTACAAGATATTCCAAAATCATCAGATCTCTCCCGCTATGGATCTTTCGTCAATTTGCAGAAGAAAATCGCGGCACTTTGAAATAATCATTGACTGAAATTAAGCAAGCCGAAGTCTTGAAAAAGAAAATAGACGACAAAATTGCATGTGAGGAATAATCTCAAACGGATCAAATTTTCACTAATGAAAGATCTTTCTTCAAGCGCATTTTAAGTGCAAAGTCGCACAATATGTTATAAATGGCCAGATAAATGACAATTTTTCTCGTTATTTTCCTTGAAAAAAATGCTTTCGGAATTATAAAAAAGGACCGATGAGGCAATATCGTTAGTTCTGAGATATTCACGCGCTGGTTTTTATACTCATTTTTGTGCGCTTATTCGCGAATAACGCGGCAACCAAAAAAAGCGTCGTTTCTTCAACGAGCGAGAAATTAGTTCCGAGGAAAACAGAAGGACACGGTTTTCCAAGAAACGCCTGTTGGCAAATTCAATAGCGCCTCGGTAAATATTAATCCGCAATTCGCGCAAATCGTTACTTCCGTATTATCGGCTTGAAGATCAGCCGCCGTTGGAAAAGTTGAAGTGAAAATTAAAGCTCGGGCGACGCGAGAACGGTGTTCGGTAAATTTCGAAATGGGCGAAAATGCAAACTGTAATCTTCATGGAAATTACCGGAAACAAAATAGAGTAAAGGGAGAGAGAGAAAGAGAGAGAGAGAGAGAAAATGCGCGCGTGAGAATAGTTATCGCACTGATTAAAAGCTGAATGTAAATATCCGGTGTCAATACATTTTGTAATTTGGAGGAGGGAAATAAATTAGCACAATTGTGCTCGATAATAAATATACATTATGAGAAACGCGCATCGGTTACATTAAGACGAAATTGAAACGATTAAAAAGAATATCAGTAACAATAAGATAATCGATTTTTCTCTCTTCCAATCTTTCCTCTCGTGTCTATTCACCGGTTAACACCGGCTTGATTACAATCTCCGCAGAATCCAGAGCTGACGATCCTCGGAATTCGCAGTTGTGGCAAATTGGAACGACAAAATTAAATATTGAAATTACTTATTCAAATTGCGATTTAAGTAACGATAATAAGTGAAATTATCTCTGTGTGAACTGTAATAAAAAAAATGTATATAGCTTCTCGTCAACATCTTATCGGGCGCGCGGATATCGTCGCAGAATAACTCTTATCTAAACGCGCTTCGCGAGTCGGCAATTTCGCGATCTGCTGACGGAATGCGATTTCGCGGCCGTTCTTTCTTGAGGAGACGCCGGCGGCGACGGTAAGGTGGCTGAAATTTCGCGTGTAATTTCGCAATCCGCCGAGAAGCGGCGAACGAGGATAAATCGCGGGGCGCGTTTCGCGGTAACGGTAACGCGACGTTTAACGCTAGGAAAAAGCGCTCCCCGCCGGCTCGAGCGCGCGCGCGCTTTGAGCCAAAACGACGAACGCGCGCGTGTCGTAAACGTGTTTTATGGGCGTTGTTGCTCGAGATATGCGGGTCGGCTCTCTTCGGCATTGTCGGGAGCGTCTCTCTCTCTAGAGAAAGAGAGAACATGTAAAAACGCGCGGCCCGGAATCGAGACGTAACGGTATAATACGTAGCACTCGCGAGTTCGAATTACCGACGCGCCGAAAGGAAAGAAAGAATAAGAAGTAGAAGAGATAACCAGACTCCCGCGAAATTGCCCGCGGAATCTATGATTCAGTCGGCGCTGATGGAAGCCAGACTTGGTAAGATTGGATCCAGCAGCTCGTTGGACTCTTAGCATTCCTTCGTATCGGACGAAGCCCGCAGTGCGTATACAGAAAAACAATAGTCTTAAATCCATGATATTCTCATATGTAAGCAGGAATATTATAATATTCTTAGGAAATTTTTCGTTTTGAAGTTTCTCAGCGCAAGCGTCTCGAGCTCTCGGATAGAGCAACGTGCATTAATTAACGCGGCGAAGAACAAGACACGCGACACCCGATGCTGTCTCGACGCGACTCGAGGGTGACAATATAAAACCTAACCTCCCTCTTGCAGAAACCGCGACTATCGATCGGTCAATAAAACGCCCCTAAGCACAAACGACCAATCGCTCGCTTATTTCTCCCCTTGACCGCAGGAAGGATCGTCGAAATCGATATGCGATGCCACCGGCTTCAACGACGCGCCGGCGATATTGTTCTTACACCGGCCGCGAGATATCGATATTATCGATGAGGTTTGTCGCCATGTCGCGCAAATCCAGATTTCATCGGGTGTTTGACATTATTCCACGTTATCGACAACATCGATCGTGCGACTACAGTTATGTTGGGCGTTTTACGTAACGCGGCTTCGCGATGTTATTCGACGAAACGTGAAGTATATATCGACACGCTCTGCTCGACGTTTTCCACTGCAAATATTAATACAAACGGCTCGTAAACAGACAAAAAGCAGTTAGAGAGTATTCCGGATTATAAACTTCCGAAATTTTTACTCCGCGAAGGTTTTAAAAATATCACGGAGAGGAACAATGGAAACTTTTTACATTGCCGAAATATTTCTGACTCCCTGTTCGGAATATTATATTAATTAAGGTACGATTTCTTCTATTGTTAGACTACAACTCGATTTCCCCTATAGTATAAAAGAGAATATCATTTGACAATCTTAATTTCGAAAATTCGTCTCGACGAGACGGTGTATTATATAATCAAGGAGATAACTCCCGACGATCTGATTCCATATTTGATTTTAACTTCATTTTCTACACTGTAAAAAACTTTATGTTAAATTTAACACAGACGGTCCACTTCAATTTTAATGTTTATTTAACCCAAGGTGAATATGTGAAAAGTAACGCAAATATAGTGTAAAAAATTAACACCAAATTACTACTATTAATTGACACTCAAATATAAAAGTTATTTTAACGTTAACCCATGTTGAATATCGACACAACACAAAATGTTGAGATAATGAAATGTTGAGATGACATAAGCACAATATGTTAAATTAACACACGGCTATGTTAAATGTTTAATACAAAAATTTTAACAAGGATCGACTTTAAGATAAGTAAAAAATGTTTTTCTACTGTATAATTTAACTTATAATTCGTTATTTTTCAATAGAATTTCGATAGAATTATCGTTATAACTGCCGTTTATTTGGACGTTACCTCTATTTGTATTGTTATCTATTCGCTGTTTGGTTATTTATTACCTATTTATGCGTATTGTCGATTTTCCGTTGTTCTACTGGGGTCACGATTGATTGCTAAATCGAGCGTACGTAACTCTGTTCACAGCTACGTCAGCGGTGATCCTAAAAACGGAGAACGAGCACCATCATCTGGCGAGTCTATCCGGGGACAATATCCTTGGGACGGGGGTGAGGATAGGACGTGGCGAGGACGCAGTCGCGAGTGGTAGCGGCCCCGTTATGGATTCGGCGCAATCGGCCATGATGAAGCAAGCGGACTACGTCGTAGGTCAGTGAACTAGCTCGGCGATTTTTTTTACTGCGAACACGTAACAAACACGTTTCTCCGATCGCGAGTCCGTTTCGATCTCGTCGATGTCGTTTCGTTAATCACAGTTGTCGTTCGTTATGGAGTGCGAGTGCGAGTGGTCGGCGAATCCGCGATGCGCGAATCCCGGTAGTCACGGTGAAGGCGTCACGTAATGGAGGTAGTGCTAATTTTAGACAATTTTTTAGCGGAGCGAACGCTGCGCGAAACGTTCCGGGCTTTTTCGCGCGAGAGCCAGTTTTGTCAAATAATAGCGCGTTTTATAATCCGAGTATAATCCGCGAGCCCGAAGGGAAGAGATATGAGGGGGATATTAAAGTTCGCGGGATTCAGGAAAAGAGGATTTCGAGCAGGACGAAACGCGGCTTTTATTCGAGGCACGCTCGGTCTTTTGAAAAGTCACCGACGTCCAGTGGAAATCGCCCCAAACAAACGCTTCCCCGTTCTCGTTCCGAGCGGGACTTCCATGCGCGGTAATAATTAACGTTCATTTCCATGAAACTCATATGCACCGGGAGCGAAACGAGCGAATCCGAAATTTTAGAGGGGTCACTTTCACATCAACGAGGCACCAATCACGCTTTTCTATGTGAACTTTCAAAGATTGTATTCCGCTTCCAAATCAATATCGTCGAATCTCGAGAGGGAAATCAATCTGATCTGAAACTTCTTTTGTTTTATACACGACTGCAGACTTCAACCGGGCACGTTTTCCATGCAGAAATTTAACGAGTCGAGTTATCAAGAGTATCGTTATCGACGTTAACCTCAGGAAGCGATTAGATTCGCTACGCGAGTCGCGATAAGATAAAGTCGCGGTTAAGCAAATTTCGTCCATTTATGCGAAAGAGTGATAAGTGCAACGAATTCAACGTCAATGCGAGCCCTCGTTACCGCGGGTTTCTTTAGAGACGCTCAGTTAACTGTCTTCAGCCAGATGATACCGAGTAAAATGCGTAAAAACGCGATTGTGAAACCCGCATAGTTAGCGACGTCATTCTAGTTGTTTGCGCGATTTTATCAACGTCTCTAGCTATATTTGAATCTTAATCGATGATGCGTCCTCTTTGCAGTAAAACGCGCATATGGGTTTACTGTGAATATATTGTCATCGACAACAAAAGATATTCAAAAACAAATTGTAGTTATTAATATGTCTTTCATGAGAGATCGCCATATTTTTTAGCATTACGTGCTTCGGTGACTGCGCCGAATAATTGTCAAATATGCGAGAAACGTTCAGTTTCTTAAAGCTAATATGGTATTTATGCCATTCCCGTCCAAAAATATCTCTTGAATGTTTCTTACGAAAAATACGAAAACTTATGTATTTATGTTGTATTTTAAGTTGTTTGAAAAGCATTTATTTCACTTATCTTGTTTATGCCGTTTCTCATTTACGTTACATTAATATTTTCTCTGTGCACACGTGTTCTCTGATATGATATTATAATATTAAATGACCTTCAAAATGTAAAATAATGATTTCGATATTCGGGCAAAATTATATCCAAAGTACCGACGGAAAATTTTGAAAGTAATCCGTTATTGAAGAGATAGATATCAAGTGGATTCGCACATTAAAACATTATATGTGAATAAAAATATCATCTGTGCAAAGTTGCAAAATGTAATCAGAACAAGGACTGAATACTGAAAATATTTCAGTAGCGATTTTATACTGATATGAAGTTTTATATACTATATATACTATCTCTATTGATGAGAGATACCGATATATACTGATGAGAATATAACGATATCGATATTATACTTCTATTACCAACGTTATCACTAGTGTATTATTTGGAAATCAATATCACTAAATCAATTTAATTTATATATACGTATTCACAGTAGAATTTTCGCAGAAGAATGGAAAAAGTATGTAACGTACATTAGATTTTATCAAATCCTAAAATATGAGATTTGTACTACTTTAGAGAAGAATAGACAAATTATGCTACTAAAAAACTACGCTATTAAAAAAAAAAATACTGATATAATATAGAAATTGAACATTGTAATAACGAAATTATACTATTATGAACCACTGGCATTAGCGTTGCATTTTTTTAAATGAGAAATGAACACAACGGACAGAAATAGTGATAAAAATATTGTGTTATGAATTATTAAAGAAGTTCTTGTAAAATAAAAAAAAACTTCAGTTAGCACTCATCGTAGCGTTCAAAGTTCAGTATGACGCAATTGATGATGCTGAATGTGAGATCCGAGATGAATCATGCAATAGGTACCGCTGTCGGTGTCAAGTTTTATTTTCGATGTATATTTTCAATGCAATACGTGAAAAAGTATTTCAATATTTGAACGTAATCGCGTGTATATTATTTGAATATAAATTAAAATTTATAAACTATTATAAAAAATATGTATATCACACAAGAGGATACTTTCGCTACGATATAGATAAATTTTTATTTCAACATTATAACGACGATATATTAAGTATCGAATCGATCGTCGAACTCATATTGAGTTTTGAAACATTATCAATTCAAATCTTTCGTGCAGTTAAATATTTATCTTATCAAAGCGCCATTGATATGTACAGTTCATATTATGCGTGTGAGCGTTCTATCTTATTCGATTGGTATAAATAATACGAAAATGTTTATTTATACTATCGATCCATCGGAGAGGAGAATATGACCCTTGAACGGTCGATGATTTTATTAATGTTTAGAATGCCGACAGCGAATTCCCATTGCGAGGGACTTCAAACGCGTGTGATCAAAGTGTACGGTTAAATTGAATCAACGTCATGACACAGCACGTTAGCCAATCAATACTAATCAAATATGTATTATGTTACAGACGTTGTGCTACCAACGGTCCTAATTGCTTTGCTATTCGTCGGCAATGCGATCATCGTTTATATCATCTTCCAGTATAGAAAGAGGTAAGTGAACTCATTCGCTACATCTTGAAAGAAATTATATATATACATAGTATATATGCTGATATGTAGATATAGATGAAATCTATTGAGAAAAAAATGATAACCGATAACGCGAGTATATTCTTTGATACGTCCTGAATTGATCAAGTGAGAAAAATTAATTAGGATCTTAATCAGTGGTAGAATCTATTAAGATTTATAAGATTTATAAGATTTTTATCTAAAAAAACATTTGCCTCAAACTTCATCTTTTTATTTTTTTCCAAATGTTTATGTTCCATACTTCTTTCTATAAAATTGTTCAAAGTTATCCTGTAGTTCAAGTTAAAAATAAAAAACCAAGAAGCTCCGGACAAAGTCAAACTTAAAAAAAAAGTGTAAGTTGGTATAAGAATTTATTTCCTTAAATGAATTTTAAAATAAATTATATTTTCGTAGAAATTTAAATCGAAATTTTATTTCCAAAAAACATGAAAGGGGGCACTTGATAAATTGCTAGAAAAACAGTCTAAAATTTTCAAAGAATATTTTCCTACTTGAAGATTTCTCTGAAGCAATCTATATATATAGATAAAGAAAAAATTGTGTGTATCTCGAAATATTTGTTGGATCTTACGTTATTTTACTTCAAGTAAAATATAGATAGGCAAGAATAAATTAGAATAGAATTGGCACACGATATATGGTTAAATAAATAAAGTTAAATAAATAAATAAAAATAAATTATTGGAGTTAGGTTGGGATGTGTTGTCGCATTCACCATATAACTCTGACTTTGCGCCTTCAGATTTCCATTTATTTCGTTCCATGCAGAACTCCTTAAATGGTAAAATTTTTTATGACGCTGATGATATAAAATCTCATTTAATTCAGTTTTTTGCTAACAAAAATCAGAAGTTTTATGAACATGGAGTTATGACACTGCCTGAAAGATGGCAAAAGGTCATCGACAAAAATAGGCAATACCTAATTTAATAAAGTTATATATTCAAGTAAAAATTTTGAATTTTCTTTTTTATTTAAAATCCGCAATCACTTAGTTGCCAACGCAATAGAAGGGATTTAAATATTAAAGACCATATTCTGATTGTAGTGTTTTTGTAAATCGAATATAGTTAATTTCCTGATTTTATTTGTCTTCTACGAAGATCATGTATGATATTTTTCATTTTTAGATTACTTTTGATTTCGTTTTAAATGCACGATCAAAATGCCAACTTTTCATATTCTAAGAAGATATTAATTCAGCATTATTTTTTTGGTTTTCTTATTTTCTCCTATTTATTAAAACAATGACCTCGAAAATATTTGTCGAAAATTATCATAGTGCTACGGTAACAATTGTAACGAATTATTCAAATCGTCTAATTAATTACTGATACATTGTGATTATATTATTAATTGCGTTTCCCGGAAATCTCGTGCGTGTAATGCTTTATGAAAAATTTTGCAAAACGATATTTTTGCCAAATAATTTTTGTATAATGAGATATCGAAAAGTGCTAGTACAAAATGACCAAATAGGCTAATGGCACATAAAAATAATGAGTTCTGACGAGTTTTGTGTTTTTTGCACGCATAATAGAATAGGTTTCGCATTGCATAATAGAACAAGAAAAATAATTGCGTATAAATATTTCAGGTTTAATATTCCAGGGTTAACTTATATTTACACTACGTACACTAATCTATCTTGTACAGATAGAGTAGTGTACATACGTACACTAATCTATCTTGGCTCATTTCAAGGCAGCAGATCTGTGAGTTGTTATGTTTATCAACATTTTTCATGCCGTTCATTCGAAGTTTTAACTTCTTTTAAAGTGAAATAATACAGAAATAACCGTAACAAATGTGAATATCCAACAGTTTTCACAAACAAATAACGAAGTCACAAACAAATATATTTCACTCGGGTCAGTGATTTTTGTTTGCCGACTTTGTTTGCGAAATGTTCACAGACCCATTACCTCAAAGTGAAAAAAATTTAAATGAAAGTATATCCATCACTCACTAATACGGTACGGCTGTTCACTCGATGTTTACCTGTAACACAAAAATATTCGCCGACTTTAAAACACTATTCAAAGCAATCAATATTGAAATTTCAATGAAATTACAGCGTGCGTTAAATTCATTAGCCTCGAAAGAACATTTATCGCGGAAGATTTATAATTTCCAAGAAGCAAATGATGTGCAGAGTCATACCGTACGAGCGGTCAATTGACATTTAATTGACATATAATAAAAACGCGACTATTAAATATAATAAACAAAATAAGCAAGAAATTATTTACCTCGTCGCGTTGATCGCCAATACCCGAGCGAGTTCCTCTCGTCCCGCTACGCTCCTAATCCATGGCACTTACACAACACACAGACACACACACACACACATACGAATTCACTCGCGATTCGAAAAACATCGTTAATTATAATCGGACGTGAGCTAATTATCATACTTCGGATCGCGTGAACTTTGCACGGCATTCGTAATACAAGACGCGTATACTTGCCGTTCATTTGATGAAAAACTACGGGAAACACGGCGAGCGAGAAACGAAGAGATACGCGTAGCAATAGCGACGTTTCTCGTGAACGAACGATACGTTAGAACGCCCGTTTAAGAAAATTCGAAAGCTACGCTGCTAACACACGTCGTGACGGCGCCGTGTACCTGTTGCATTTCCCAGCTGCGTCTTCGCACATCCCGGTCACTCGGAATCGGAACGAATATTTATTTATCGCCGAGTGATAGAGAAATCAATGACGAGATACGAGCCGAACAAAGGATCTACTATGAAAACTTGAACGAATCATACCGTAAGGCACCGAGGAGTTACCGAAAATCGTGATAAGCGAATGTTCACGGAAGAATGTCTCTGATAAATGACCGCCGTTCGCCGTTTATGCGTATCAATTCGTATTACCATCTCACGTAATGCGTAGGGAAATCAATTCACGATTAAATATACACCGGATACTGTACTATATATAAATGAAGACGTGTCGCGCATTTGACAGTGAAACTGGCGACGAGGCGCGAGATGGGGCCATGTTCCGCGTCCTTATTCCATATATACTTTGTAACATACACGGAAAAAATTAACATCTATTCAAAATTCATATTGTCATATATATGCAAAAATAGATACCTTATATGGACATAAAATATATTTGTATAAACCTTAGCAGCATAAATTGGTTGGCTAACCGTTGCTCAACGCTGACCAAACGCTCGGGAAACAACTCTATGTAGTTCCATTAAAAAATATTATATTTTCGTTATTCAGGAATTCTTAATTAAGAATTAAGTTTGAGGATATCATTCTTTTTATTCAATATTTTTTCCTCCCAATTCATGAAAAATACTCCTAAATAGAACAAGAATATGATATTTTCAATGGAATTATATAAAATTTCTTCATATAAGCAAATTTTATCTTCATATAAGATTACATATTTTTGTTCATATGAGAATATGAATCGACACTCATTTTCTCCATATGCATTACGAAACTTTGCAGACAAAAGGCGTGTTCGTATATTCACTGCTAGTACTGAAAATGTACAGTTCATGTTACGTATATTATAGATTTTTCATACTGCCAGTGAATATATAATACAAACTCAGTTAAAATATATCACAGAATAGCTGCGTAACGATACGTTAGCGATATCTTCATCGCAAGTTACAGAATAAGGAGGCCGTACACAAAGCGAATGATAAATATTTTTTTTACGATAAATATGTTTTATTACGAGAAAAACGGAGCTCGGAATTAGAAAGGCATATTCAACGTTCGTTATACGTCCAGAGCGAGGCTCTGATCGCAGGATTCGCGGAAATACGGTGGAATGCTTAGGTACGCGTCATACGACACCGAAGAATCACCGAAAATCGCGATAAGCTAGTGTTCGCGAAAGAACGTTTCCAAGAAATGGCCACCGCTCCGTCGTTCGTTCGCACGGCAGATTCCGATTGTTGGAAAATCTCGCGAGAAACACGATGCCCACAACCGACCCGATACACGACGTCGACGTCTCGTTATCTGATCGACGAATACCCGTATCTGAGGCTCATTACGATCGCATTTACTACCTAAAGTCACCTCGTAATGCCATTCGATTCTCCGTTCGTCTGCTCGGTGCCAGTGGCTGCTCGCGAATAACCGAAATATTCGAAGTAGCGCGGCTAACTTCATCCTGATAGCCGCGTTGAGCAGGGCCGTTTATTTTACAACTGTTGGAAGTTCCCCCTGTGCTGAGATTGGATCATTCTCCTCTGGATCTAAAAGAATTATCCAATCTCAGCTCACCGAACTTTCAACAGTTGCAAAATAAACGCTGAGCGTTTGGACCTGATGGAAATATTTCACATGAAATATATTTGGACGCTGACCTGATGGAAATATTTCACTGAAATATATATTTGAAATTCTCTCTCAATTGACTCCATTTTATCATTACTCTATCAATATTTCAGTAAAAATTCGATTTTCAGTTAAAAATTCAATAAATGTCATATCTAATATTTCAAAAAAAATGTATTATTACTTTCAAACGGTGTAATTTAACTCTCTTTATATTTCACAGTATTATATTAAGTTTCATGAGGAAAAATATATAAAAAAATATATTAAATTTTATAAGGAAAAATATATAATAAAATATATCATTTAAAGATATTCAGTAATTTTCCCGAACTTTCATTTCACTCGTCATCGATTTCGGTACTTTCAACAAAATATTTTGACAAGAGGTGGCCAATATTTGTTCGTTTTAGTCGAATTAGACTTCACTTTTGTCTTTAGAGTGAGACAAGTGTACAAACCAGCGTTGAAGAGAAAAGGACCAAAGTTCCAGTACGGCACTGATTCGGTTAAAAGGGACAGGCCTAAAGCCACACGATGCGACAGATTCGAGGCGATCAATTAACGGCGCGACAGGTCGTTCGAAATTACCGGATCGGCGTTTCACGCCTCGGTGATGCGTAAATCTCGCGAGATTCGCGTATTTATCGGTGACGATCGCTGTACCTTCACCGGCTCGACACGACCCGGCTTTTCGTCACTCGGAAGTGCGTCACAATGTCGCCCGATCGCGATCCCGTGCTCCTCCGCGGGGGCCTCCGCGAATCAGCGAAATCGCGGGAAAATGTAATCGCGTCGATCGAAAATGTCGAGTCGCTACGCGCGAATAAACACGTGCAGGCTTGCGATCGTTGTCGAAACAACGGCCGTGAATCTCGCGAGAAAGTGCCCTTATCATTCTCGAAAGCTCCTATCTCTCGCTTGGAGCGAATAAATCACGCTTTCACGAATCATATCGGCGTCGTTGACGTCGCTGTGTCGATATATCGACGCCTCGCGTCTCATTAACCGCGAGATCGCGCGTCGATTTCAATTGATCCTCGAATAACAACCGAATAACAACCAGAAGCATTTTATAGTTTTTTCACATTAATTCTTTCCGCTAGGCTCTTTTGATTTTCATAATCAGTTAGAAAATACTTAAAAGCGAATAAAAGTAAATAAAGTGTGTCGCAAAATATATTAAATACTTAAAATGAAACGCATCGCAAGCGCGTGCGCGGAAGCATTAGAATATAAGTATACGAATCTGGTCGGATCCGATCCAACCTTGTTATTCGATTCATTTTTCATTCATGACGTTCGCCAGGTATCTTTGGCGTTTCTCGGTATTCCGTGATGCGTAATTACCGGAAGAAGGGATAATATGCGGAGGTATTTGCTGTTGTCTGTCGTACTCACGCCGCAGGAATGACGAGCTTGACATGCCGTGTGTACAAACACGGCTCGATCGGCCGGTTGACAAAACCAAGCGTCGTCGAGCGCGTACTGTCGGACTCGAGATAGTAAACAAATGTAAAGAAGACAATTGAGCATCTTTGCATGCGAAAACAAATTTTTTTGTCGTAACTATAAGTTCGTGGAAAAAATTGATCAATCGTAGTTGATTATTCTTTGACTACAAGAATAATCAACTGACTGGTCGATTTTCTCATGGATTTACAGTAACGACTTAAAATGGTGTTTTCTTTCCAGCTGAACTGGCTATACTAGTTCAAGAAATTCACTGGAGCGTGAGAATCTCGTACGTACGCTTCAAAGTGTATGTAAATTTCTCGCACTAGTGCAGCCAGTTCAGGTAAAAAGAGCAGGCCAAACGTCTCTTACGTGCAAAGGCCTCTAGCAAGAAAATATCTTGTATGTTCAGCGACAGTTTGCAACATTTTTTTTTTTATAAGTTTTTGAACGTATCTCCTGCCCGGTGGGAAAATTCTTAGTAATTCTCAGGATATGCATTTTCATCTTGAATATGAGATACGCTGTGCAACTCGTCGGAAAAAAATGTTGCAACCTTTTTGACCGTGTCTTACATCGTGTCTCGAAGGATAGATGCTCTCAGAAATGAGCAGAATAGAAAAATACAAATGCTTATTTCATTAACGAACAATGCTCTTTATCTTTCCAATAGTTTTGTAATCGTATGCGATACGCGTGCGAATATAGCAAAAGTGATACATAATAGAATGAATTTAATTATATCACACGCATGTGCGATAAATCTCGTAAGATCTCGACACGCCTACGCAGAAACGCAAAGTCCCTAATATTTATATACATAAAGGAACCGCGAAAACGTCGTTAAAGAAAGAACAGTGCTTCGTTTTCTCTTATAATTAATAGAAATCGCATATCAAACCTCGTTCACGTCGACAAAGTCGCCTAAATCCGTGAGGATATTTAAAAGTCCGCGATTAAACCCTTCGACTCTTTAATAATTAATAAAATTACAAGCGCGTGGAAGAGAGTACAACCGATGGGGAAAAAATTGATATATGCAGGAGAAAACTAAACGTACGTCTCTTTGCATTTCAGAAAACTCCCGGCCGTGACGCAGGCCGAAGAGATGGCTCTCCGGGGCCCGGCCGACGTGCCCCAGGTGTGATTCCAGGGGCCCGGACTAATGGCGCACGTGGACACCGGTTAGCTGCGAGGAGCGCTCGATGTCCACGTGGTCATCGAAAGTCGTCGCGGATGTGCCAGGTCGTCGGACCCGGAATCTCTGGAGTTCTCGCGACGACTCCGCGCAATTAGTCGAGGCCGCGACACTGGGAGGAGACGGAGAGACTCGACACGTGTTGTTAGCCGCGCATTTAGCGCGAAACGCGGCTGCCCGCTATTCCGCGATCGCTCTCTTTGCATCGTCGATTCGGTGAGAACTCAAATTCCGAATCGGACAACAACGAAAGACACCCGGAGAGGACAAACGGCCCGCGCTTCGCGCTGTTCGTTTCACGCTCCACATGTATCCGGCTGATTGTCGTCTCACATTCTCGATGCACTCTTAAGACACGCTCCCGCGAATTTCTCGGAAAGAGAATGAGAGAGAAAGAGGGAGACGTTCAAAGCGAGACGGACGGCCGGGGCGAAAAATGCGTTGCCAAAACGGGACGCGTGCTTGTGCGCGTCCGAGGCCCGTGCGTGGGCACAAACGGACTTACGGCCGGTTCGATACTGTATAACTCGCGAGCCTATTACATCATGATTTTACACATATACATACACACATGCATACATATATACATAAGCATAGATACATACACATGTATACATAAACACAAACTTTACGTTACTGTATTATAATATAAGCAGATAATATATTCTATACTTCGTCCAAATTTGAGAATAAGTTGAAAATAAATGAACGTTTTCTTAGTACCCGCCTGTTATTGTCATTAATTATTCTTACCTGCTTACGACAATATTCAACTCATCAACATGATCATATTACAGAAAAATAACTGTTAATCGTGCAATAATAATAATCGACAAAAAATTAACTAATCCGCTCTTTCCTCAACGTTCATTCACTTATATTCCCCTTTAATTTAATTATGTGACTATTTACACGCTAAGTTACTTCCGAACTGGAAATAGTATACACTAGAATAATAAAAATACTGCATATGTATAAAAGTATTATATAAAAATATTATGCAAACTCATAAAATGCTTATATCTCATTTAAAATAATTTTGGAGAAATAATTCTATTTACAAAAGACATTCTCACACGTGGATTCTTGGTAATTATTTAGTAGTTATTTAAGCGTGTAAGCTAATATTTGAATATGTTCAGAAGTATTGATGTAAAGGTTCTTCTAAAATCTCCTCTAGCGTGCGGACAGCGTTCTGCGCGCATTGTTGCGTAGCTTCGTCTTCGTCTTCCATTATCTCAGCGAGGAAAGGTATCGATTCCGGCAGTAACGGCATGAAGTCTTCCCCAAGCTTCCTCGCGATTTCCACCTACATCACAATGGCAAATGGAATTATTCGATAAATACACCTAAATAATGTAACGGGAATTAAACTGGAAGAAATTGGTTAAAGATTAGGAGCAGAAACCCTTTCGTTTATAACGAAAAATACCTAAATATAAGAATAAATAAGAGCTTCTTCAGTGAGATTAGACTGTTTCAATCACAAGCTCTATAATAAAGAAGCCATTACGTCTCAACTTACCAATGCGTTCAAAGCAGTACTCCTGACGTAAGGCTTCGCGTGCTTGGTCTTCAGTAAAGTCTGGGTAATCAGCTCCTTATGCAACATGTCATCAGGAACGGCTCCAACGAAGGAGGCTATGCAAGGTATGATCAATCGGCTCGCTCGGCTCTCGTACTCTTCCTTCGTGCCCATCGTGTTCTCCAGCTGGTCCACTAACAGCTGCGGGAGGGTCATGTACCGTTCCTCATTGATGGTATTACGCGTAATGTAACTGAATACACGGGAAAGAGTCAACAAAATCGCCTCTATCAGCTCGATTCTGTCCGACTCTTTGGGAAGCGTCAATGTGTGAAGAGTCCCGTTGAGAAACGTGTTGCTTTTCAGCAACGAAGCCGCATGGTGGAAGAAGATTCCGGCGAACTTGCCGAACAAGTTTTTCAGACACTCTGCCATATTCGCCGACAACCTGAATAGAAATGATCAGAGTCACGTTATCCAAAGTACACGGTGTGTGGTGAACGGTTAATATATTACTTTAACTGTGCAAAAGTGAGAACTACTTGAATTCCCCGATGTATCATACGCACCTGTAGAATGTTATGTTTCGTTCCAAGTGCGTCGTATTTCCCTCTGCCCATCTATACAAATCTTCGTACAACGATCGGAAAGTCACGTCGTTCAGCTTGTACATCAGGGCAATCATAGCCTTGCTAGCGCTTTCTTCAACCGCGACGACATGCCCCGCTGTGTCTCCGACGTTAACGTCTATTTCGTCGCCTACGGGATCCTTGATACTCTCGCGAAATTGTAGAACTTGTAGGAAGAACTCGGTGAGACTTTTTATCTCATTTCTTATGTGCGCCGACTGCGCTTTCTCGAAGGAATCGGCCAGCACGTTCATCAACGACGGTATACGTTGGTAGAACTTCTTTTTCAGCTGTTTCTTATAGGTAATTCTGACAACCGGCAACAAATCGTTCAGAGGTACGCAGCTGGATAAATTCTGCGAAATCATCTTCAATCGTGAAAGTACGACTGTGGTCTGCAAACATAGATTTAGATTGAAGGAAACGTGCAGCTTTAAAGGTGCGTTGAAAGAAGTTAACCGCACGTCGACGATAAGATCTCTGATATGTATTAACTGTGCAAGCATTTTTCTACGGAAACTGATGATAAACTAATCGATATGATAAATCCTATATTGTTACCAAAGATACGCTACTCGAGTCAATTTCTAGACACTTGAAATATTACTTGGGACAAATTAATAATCCGACTAGTCGCGACCCAGCGAATGTTATTTCCTAATTAATTCTGTAGAATTAATTCTTAATTCAGTAGAAACGCAGTGTTTAAAACTGGCTTTCTGAATAAACAAGTTGCCAGAGATTTTGCGTCTCTTATCCTTGACCGGGGACGGAACCATAAATACCTTGGGATTCCCCGTGTCGGTGTACAACGAATTCAATATAATCAATTCGGACAGAAGATCCTTCAAGTATCTGGTGAGGAATTTCCCCAAAGACTCGACTATCTTCTGTAGGGCAGTCAGGATGCTGACGACCATCGAATCCGGTACGTTCTGATGACAATGGGTCTTCATCAGCTTCAAGATCTCCGGCATGAAGTCATCCAACATGCCGATAGCGTTGGATTGCATTAAACTGACTAGTTCCGCGAGGCATAACACCGCGTTAGCCAAAACTGGACCGTCTCTCGACTTCAACAGGTCTACCGTTATTCTTAGAACCTGCAAATAATTATCCCAAGAAAACCACAACGTCGATTATGATATCGATTACATAGAGAACATGCGACTAAACCGAGCTGAATTTCATCGCGCGTATTTTCAAGGAACAAAGTGATTTTCCGCGTTCGCCGTATTTGTCTACGCACCGGCTGAAATTGGTCCACGTATGTAGCGGCCAATAATTTCGCCAGCAATTTCAGAGAGATCAGCGTCGTCTGTTGAAGAACCTCGAACTCTTGGTTCCCGTTTCCCCCTTCAGCGCGAACGATGCATACGAGACAATCGATCAAGCCAAGAAGATTCGTGTGATCTTGCTCGCCGAACTTTTTCTGAAGCAGTCGAGCGTTCAGCAACTCCAAGATCTTCTTCCTCACAGTTAACAGCTCATGACTCATGTCCGCATGAGCTTGCAAACGCTTGACGTTCTTCAGGAACATTGAGTTCGACAACAGGTTGTTCACCAGATCTAGCACGTCGTGTAGATGATGTAACAATATCTTCCAGTACTTCGCGAACACGTTTTCGTTCTCTTGGTGCTGATTGGCGACCTTCAAAATGATCTGAATCAGCGCGATCAATTCGCTCGCTAAATGATCGCAGTATTTGTTCATCTTATTCGCTTCGCTCTCGCTCAGCTGAGGTATCTGATTGATGAACTCCTGGGAGGATAAAAGGCGGACGAGGAAGTGTATCGCCGTTAATTTGTACTGTCGTAGAATCTTCGGGTTAGTCTTACTCAAGTCGTAGATATGATTGTACTTGAAACTCATCGCCTCCCCTCTCGCCTGGTTCTCTTCGATGTTGATCGGTAGATCCCGGACGAACTTGATCACCTTCGTACACACCTGACGGAAAGATCGAAAATGAATTCCTGATGTTCGAAAACTCTTTTGGGTAGAAAACAATTCACATAATGTAATTATTGTAATTATTCGTACGACGTAAAAATTAAAAGAATACTTTTTGAAATAAAAGCATTTAAGGGAATTGTGAGCAAAGTTCAACATTCAAGGTTTTCATATCTTTCCCTGACTTTCCCAAGTTTCCCCCGACCGATGTAAAAATTTGACCTTTCCCGGTTTCCCATCACTGGCAACCCTGACCATTTAAATAAAAATATGCCAAATGGAAATGTGTGCTCTACCAGAGAGACATCGAAATCAACTTCGAGCATTTTCGGCAATATAACTCATTATGTCAATAACAGAAACGAATGTCTCCTTCTTTCTTCAAATCAGACACGACTTCGTGCAATGTTTACAATGTCACAATCAGTATCTATGCATATGATACTATAATTTCTCATATATGAAAAGATTTAGAAATTCATTCTTTAGATTATTTCGAAAAAAATTGCTAATTTCTTTTCTATGCCTTTTAAGAGCGTTGCAGATGTTGAATCTATCGAATGATGACAAATGGCATTGGCTGACATCCAACCTGAAGTAGCTGCAGCATCGAGAACTCTTGGCACATCTGGAGAGCGAACTCCACACACTGCACGGCCGTCTTCTCGGACTTGGTCGCACGGTTCTCGAAGGTGATCAGGTAATACAAGTGCAGTTTGTCGCCAAGAAGCTCGAGCAATTTAGCGAACAACGGTATCCTCCTGTGCTCGGGTATATCCGGCAAGGAGCTCACGAAGATTCGCAGCATCAGGCAGGCGTGGCTCTCGTCGCTGGCGGCGTTGACGATCGGCACCACCGTCTCTAACACCTTGAAAGTGATCTGGATGGAATAAGAATCGTCCTGGCGGACCATCGTGCTGCCCATGAACGTAAAGATGGGCATGATGTTGATGAGCGCCCGACTCACGTCGACCGTCCTCACCAGCTCGACGAGCACCTGCAGCGCGTGATGATGCGTCTGCGGGTTGCGGGACGTCCTGATGCACTTCGTCACGAGAGCGATGTGCATCGCGGCGTTGCGCAACGGCAGGCCCTGCGTCATCAGACGGTGGATCGTCTGCAGGATCAACTGATTCGTGTACTCCACCGGACTGAGCTCCTCGAGGCTGACGCAGACATTAACCAGGTCGAACAGCACGGCGTACAGCGTCTCCTCGTGCTCGATGTTCTTGGCGTGTTGCACGATTTGCAGCAAGGCCTCGCCGCGTTTCCACGCCCTGCTGTACACGATCTTGGGAGTCGTCATTCGGCGTGGCTGACGGTGCCTCTGTCTCCTCCTCGAGTTGCCCGTCGCCTCCGGCCGCTCCTCGGGGTTGCTCTCTTTCATCGCCTGCAGCTCGGCCTCGACGAGCGACGCGTCGATGCGGATCCGCCGGATCGCTCGGCTCGCGTTTGAGATTACGCTGCTCACTTCGCAGTCGGTCAGCAAGTCCAACATCTTGGAGAAGATCTTCGTCTGCAGGTCGCGTGAGATCCGGCCGGCGCTCGCGAAGAACGTGTCGTTGATTTGTTTCAGCAGCACCACGCTCGGTGAGGTTTGCTCGCCGGAGGCGGTGAACGCGTAAGGCTCGTACTGCAGGATACTCGATTCGAAGAAGGACCACACTTGGCCGTCGCTCGACAACGCCTCGACCGTGGAACCGTCGAAACGCTGCAGGATGTTCCTCAGGGCGTCGCCGGCCGGCCGGCTCCTGGTTGACTCGTCCGCCAGTTTCTGCAGGAGCTGCTGACCCAACGGCGCCAGTCGTTGGAGGATCTGCGTGCCGTTGACTGCCGACAGCATGTCCAACAGCTGGGCCCTGCGGTCTATCGGAACGTCTTCCTGCAACACCACGTCGAACAGCAGCTTCTGCGCCTGTTGCAGTTTCTTCCGTTGCTTCATACGGTGGGACACGTCGGGATCCGGCGAGAGGAAGTAGTAGAGCATCGACTGCAGCTGTTCCGCGTCCTGCTCGATCTTCGCGCTCTGAGCTGCGACTTCCTGCAGCAGCGCGGACAACGGCTCCGTCGCGAGACTGAAGCCCCGCGTGAGCTTCCTCAGGATTTCTATCGCCGCCGCTCGGCAGACGCTGTTGGGTCTCGCGAGACAGAGCAACAGATTCGTCACGAAGTGCAGGTCCTGGAACACCCACTGGACGGAGCAGTGGTCCAACAGCTCCAGCGTGATCTGCAGACAGTGATAAGAAGTCTGCAGGCCGACGGGATTTATGTACAGCTGCGACAAGAAGCTGACGAGGTCCTTCATCGTGGCGAAGTGTATCTGGAAGAAGATCTGCAGGTATCGGTAATAGTGTTCCCTCCATCGTTTCTTGCGCATGCCCTCGAGGAGCATCTCCAGTAACCTGACGACCAGGTTGCTCTGTTCGGCGTTGTTGACAAAATCGAGTTTAGGCTCGGGCTTGAGGTTCACCCGTCTGAACACCATCTCCAGCACGTAAGTGCCTACCTGCAACGGCAGGAAGCCCTCGTAAGTGAGCTTTATCGCCAAGTGGATGTTGTTGCCGTTGATATTGTTGCAGTCGCGCAACGGCTTGACGTACGGGTATTTCTTGATCATGTCCGATGCTATCTCGATCACGTCGCGGCCCACCCTGGCCGGAAGGGTGCCCACGGTCACCCGGCAGACCGAGCCCAATAAGATCATTTTGAAGAATACCGAGGCTGCGTCGCCGTGAGAAACCTGCTGACGCATTGAATCCAGTATACTGTTCGTAGCCGGCAAGTATTCCGGCATCAGGATGTAATGGAAAGCGACGGAGATGACCGCCCCCGCGTTCACGGAACGCTGACCTTTGCTCTTCTTCATGTCATCGAGATCCTTCGTCATACGCTGCATGTAGATATTATTTCTACCGAAATTCGAGCGCAGGACCTCCGTTGCGACTTCCATGTCCTCTTCGGTAGCCGGAAATACGTACGGCAAGGCTGTGATGAAGACCCTGGTGTCGTCGCCATCTTCGCAAAGTTCCAGGAGTATCTTCAGAGCCGGTTGGGCTAACTCCTTCCTCGATGCGGTATGGCATGTCGACAATAAAGTCACTAACTCGTCCACCAGAGTGTCAGCAGGCAGCAAACTGCTCAGTCTCGTGCTAGAGAGGGACAGCAGGGTCCTCACGACGTCCATGTCGTCGTCGTAGAAGCGCGCCTTAAGCGTCCTCATCATTATAGGACGGAAGCTCTTAGGGACGTTCACGTTGCCCCGAGCGAGAATTTCCAAGGCACGCACTCGCTGCACCGAATTAACGTGAGCCAATTTGTCCAGGATCTCGACCGATTCCTGCGTCTCTTTGGTGAGGAAAGGCCAGGATGTGAGGAAATTCAACGCCTGCCTGGCGTTGTCCTTGTCCTCATTCTGTTTCATGAGGTGTTTCAAGTGTCTGTCGAACCTATCCGGATAGCTACGCTCGAAGCTCTGATAAAATCGCGCTAGAAAGTCCTTCGCCTCTTGCGGCATCTCGCTCTTGAAGAATTTGCATGTCAGTACGCCGGACAAAATCGCATCCACCGTGTTACCGCTGAGTTTCACGTACGTTGCAAAATCGCTCATCATGCTTTTGACACCGGCGGTACCCACCGGATCCTCGGCGATCGCTTGACAAGCCGCCTGAAGGAAAGGCACGGTAAATTGCGACACATTCATGTTTGTTGAGTGAATCTGAGCTACGGTCTCGATGAACCAGGACTTTTTAGACAGTTGGAGCAGAACTTTTTGAGGCATGACAGTTAATCTGTTATTACTCGGAGACTGATAGAGATACAACAAGAGCATGGTAGCTTCCTGTTTCAAGTGTGCTTTCTTGAAAATCTTTAGCAATATCTTCTCTGTTTTATCAGCGTCGAGTTGCATCTGTAATTTTCATGTGAAAATACAGGTATATACAAACATTATTCACTAATCTCAATTTTTCAAGCAATTTTCGGAAATAGATGAAAATGATTTCTACATAAGAAGTTAAATCACCTTTGTCATCAACTGTGCAATGATCATGTAGCTGCTGGCGACGATATCAAGAACAGGACTTTTCAGACCATAGAAAAGAGTTGGTAGTAGGTAGTTCAATTGAACGTCGGTGACGGTAGTCACTTCTTCAATTACACCTAACAACAACGTGGTATAAAAACCATACAAAGTGTTCAGCTTAGGTGCCTGGTCAGGATAGGTTTCTACGGCGGATATTACGTGGGTACACAGTATCTGCATAAATGCCTCATCTGTGCTTAAACGTTTAACAAGAATTTCTGACACTGGTGTTTGACCTCGCTTCTGTAAAGATGTCAGCCAATGCCATTTGTCATCATTCGATAGATTCAACATCTGCAACGCTCTTAAAAGGCATAGAAAAGAAATTAGCAATTTTTTTCGAAATAATCTAAAGAATGAATTTCTAAATCTTTTCATATATGAGAAATTATAGTATCATATGCATAGATACTGATTGTGACATTGTAAACATTGATTTCTTACTTAAGAACTCTACAAAGTCCAGGAAATAAATAGTACACATAATAAAACATATTATTAGAATAGCATTGTTCTTTCAACTGAGTATTTTTATTAATACATACCTAGCAAATATACGAGATTCATGATACGGCAAAATCAACAATATAAAGTCATCTCGGTTGTATTTATGAATATGGTATCTGTATATTAGCCATTCCAGTGCTTTGTGTGAGGCATTTGTTAAAAAATATGGAGATAAAAGTATCAAAAATTTTTTAATTTCTGTAGTTACTTCTTGATTTACTGTAATATCCTCCGCAGCACGCTCATAATTCAAGGAATTTTTAGAAAATAGTGTCCCTTCAAACTCAACAAAGAGTGAGGAACTTTTTATCAATGTCTGCAGACCGCTCTGACCTAAACAGATTAAAGATATGTGGTCAGAAATCAAATATGTAAAATATTTCTTCTACTCTGATTTAATTGACACAATATCTCCTCTTATTTAACATATTAAGCGCTGTGCCAATTTTACATGACTTTCCCCTCAAGCTGCACGGATCACTGATGGTTCACATTACAATAAGTTTTATAATAAGATATATCTTACAATATATATAAGACTACAAAAATTAATACAATAAGTTCAAGTGAAACAAACTATATTTGTTTCACTCTAACTTACTGTATTAGTATATACCAGTTCAGGAAATTCTTCGAAAAAGAATAGACCTATTGTTATAAAGAGGAAGAAAAAACAAGTAAAATATATGTTATGCAGTCTGAAAAAAAGTTCAATGAGCTACTGATAGCACTCAACATGTTAACATAATTATTGGAAGTACAAAATAGAATTTCAAGTAGCATTGATAAAATACATGACATCCCAGCAACAATTTTCACATAACTTTTAACATGTTTTATGTCGTATCAATTTTATTCACTTGTTCATGTGAATGATATACGCATTTTTCAAACTGTGACAAGAAAACATTGCATTAGCCGTTTGTTCGCTAAGTATATATCGCACCTTTATGAGACACATTTTATTTTGTAAATAACATGTTTCATTATATCAAAAGGCCTGAAGGGAAAATTTGGCGTAATTCATCAATGATCCGCGCAGCATAACACATATTAAACTTCTACATCGAGAAGTTTGTCCAATCAGAACACTTATTTACAATGGAATATTTTTTGCAAGGTTTCACTTTACAATGAAATATAACACGTAACAATAGAATGCCACGAAAATAAAAATCGTAAGAGAAACTGAGTATTACAAACAAGAGAGAAACAAACCTATACTCAATATGATCTGCCGGTCCCAATTCGCAGCTTCTTTTGGATCACATAGTAAACTGGGTCGTTTTTTGTCCTGCAGAGTTGAATTCGTCTGCGAGGATATATTTTGAAAAAGTTGGGCTAAACTTTCCATTGTTAATTTGTAAACCAAAAACTTAACGGCCTCTAACTACTGCTAGAATTCCGCGTGTTGAGACACGTGCGCATTTCCATCCGTGCGATCAGCGAGGGAACATGAAGACTATTGGTGCTTTCCATTTGGTAACACAGTCGACACAAACATCATTTTGTCTTTGTTCCGCATTCAATGAATAACAATGATAGGATAATGCTTGCGTCGACTTGTGTCACCAAATGGAAGGCACCAAAAGTGAGACAGAGAACTAAAAAAGGATAAAATGTTTTTATTTGCGCATGTTGAGTTAATTTCAGTAAATCCCGTGTCAGGCTAGTATTTCATGCGTTGTACGACAAGCATTCGTAGGATGCGCCGATTGGCTGTCGAATAGAGAATTTCTAGTGTCTCCAACATTTTCTCTAAACACCCTAGAAATTCTCTATCCGACAGCCAATCGGCATATCCGGCAAATTCGTCGGACGACACGTGAAGCACCCTGAATCTACCAATCACACAGATATGATGTTTCGTGCTTTTGCCGTACGAGGTCTCCCAAGTCAAATCTGGGCTTTGCTCTTGGCTTTTGCCGGGCTAGCCGTTAGATAGCCGGAAGTTCTTGAACGAGTCTCGACGTGTTAATTTGTGCGGTTCCTAAAGGACGAAGTAACGATACTTTTTGTACGTGTATATTACGTCGAAAATGGCTACAATTTTGCGCGTGAAGAGAAGAGACAGCGTTCTGCCGGAAGATGCACTCATCCTTTGTAAACGGCAGAAATTATCCAACGACGATGACGACGACGAAGCCGCTTACTCGGATGTTGTTCCCGCAATCGCCAAATTCGCTGGCACACTCAAAAATCCAGTGAGCACTTAACAATTCACATCGCGAATTCCACTGTTAATCTTTGCATCAATTTTTTTCCACTCCTACAGAGAAAGTTTCGTTATTAGCGAAATTCACTTCATGCATGAATTCAGCACTGGAGAAAATATTCAAAATAGATTTCACATAAGCACGTAACCTGATTTATTTTATTGTCATAGAATTGTGTTTCTCTTTATATCTAAGATTCCCTTAATAATAAAACGTTCTGCACATTCGTATTTATATCTGTTGGACGAATTAAGATCAGGTGTTAGAAATATATATGAGTTCACTACTTATATCATACGAAATATAGTGATTCTTGTTAATAAATAATTACCACAACTATTAATGTTGATGTGTTAATATATTGAAACAATATGGCAAATTATAGTATTGACTGTTTTGGTGATTTCCAGGAGGAAAGTATTTTGAAACATTTGGTTAAAACTTTGAACAAAGAAGAGTTAAAAGCTACTTTCAAACAGCATCCTAGTATGAATGTTTTGGTACAGATGCGAGAACAGGCAAAAGAGAACTCGGCCAAAAATAGGTACAAGGTTGTCAATCGTCATCGCTCGCTGAATACATCTGATATAGAAGAGTTTGAAGATAAAGTCATGAGGTTTATAGATGTAGAAGATTCAGCTTCCCTGATAGCAAACCAAAATACAGCAGCTGCAGTAATAGAAGAAGATGAAGATAAGGTATGTAGCAATTGATATAAAAATTGCGTGTTCTTTACAAACATGACAGAAATAGTATTTTTTATTCATATTCTACGACAAAAATAGAAAAATCAAGGTTATGAAAATGTAGATTAGCTAAATGTGGTACGAGTAAATAAGGAGACAAGAAAAAATAAACAACTTTTTTTAAGTATAAGTGAAGTAGGAAAAAATTAATAAATAAATAGCGAAAGTATATAAAACAACTTCATATAAATGAAATAAAGTATCTGAAGTAAAGTATAGTAACAAATAGATGACCAATAATTTGGAAATAAAATGGGTAAGAAATAAAAGTGTGTAATAAAATAGAAACCAAATATAGAAGTGAACCAGCATGCTACAACAAACGTACACATGCATGATGAAAAATTGCAAATAATATGTATTTCAGCATAGCAACTATGTATACGATGTGTATTATGCGGACAACTGTGATTCTTCCAATGATTATGTATCGATACACCCGCTTAACTCGCAAGAGCTAGTGTATGAAACACCCGCAGAAGAGGGTTATGCGAGCGACCATGATTCCAACGATTCGAATGCGGAGTCGTATTATCAGAACAGTTACCCCAATACTGAGGCGTCAGATGAAGATTCGGTCGATGAAGACGACATGAGAGCTGCCATCGATGGCCTCAGGGTTTACGACTTTTCCAGCGACGAGGATTACCTGGACAATACCGAGGACTACGGTGATGAGGGCGAGGTGCACGGGTGCGCGTACACTAGGTACAAGCAGAGGATGAAACCATTGTTTGACGAAAGCGAGGACACCGAAACCAGCAGTGAAAACAATTCTGACAACGACGATGAGGCATTCCTCGATCAAGGGACGGACGTCTCGTGTTGAACCAGGGAAACGCATAAAAGTCCGATTTTATTGCTATCGCGAAGTTGATTAGCACAAAAAATGTGTGATCGAGATTTACCTCTTTAGAATGGAACATGCTATTTATGCAATAATTAAGAGTTTTACAAACAGTTACGTATTAATGTAAATATTCCCAAAGTCACGCATGGTGCGTTCAAGAGTGAGGATCATTTGGATAGTTGAAAGAATTCATATTTCGAGGATCCTCGTGTGACTGCCTATTTTTAGACGACTTTGTTGAACTTTGTTAAAATAGTATGCAATAGTATTTAATTCTAAAACCAATATAAGTAAGGTCGGTTCGTGTAATAGTTGCATCGAGAAGGTTGATTTGAAAACGTCAACAGTGAAGTATTCCAATTCTATTAATGTATGTATGAATTTGTTTCTTGTTGATGCATAAATGTATATGCATCGACCTCAGTGTATCGATTTTTCTGCGTGTCGCAAATAGATTTTAGCAATACCGGTGTCGTTGTAAGGATTTTACGCGAATCACAATTTTGTCCATCGGTTTCGGAATTCGTCATCCCGCAAAAGTTTCATTGAATATTGGTATCGAATAAATTTCCATTTAGTATACATCTCAGTCTTGATCTTCGCCTTCTCCCCAGCAAGAAAGAGTGAGTTGTAAATGTCATAAGGTTTTATTTGTACGTTTATATATATTTATTACAGACTTTTCTCTATAGATATATTTCGCGTGTAAAATCCTTTTATCAAAATAAAAACGGCAAAAGAGACGTAAGCCTAAGAGACTGGAAGATCGATCACGCAATCGTCAGCGAACTTCTATGAGGTCTTCGTCATTCGTGCGCTAAAATTCCCCGTTTGGTCTGCCGAATCTTTCTTTCATCCGACCGAACGACGAAAAGGAGACCGAATGGAAGAAAGGACGATAGCGAGTTTTCGTGTGATTCGCAGAGAGATCCGTTCGCTCTCGGGAGAAAATCGAGTGATCGATCTCCGAAAAAGGATGCCATTGGGATGTGTGTGTGTAGCGTGTTGAAAAAAGAACTGTCTTGTCGAAGATATGGCATATAATGATACACCAGATTTATAGCGTATAACAAGTTGTTGGAAGTACCAGATGTGGATTTACAAATTTCTCTCTCTCTCTCTCTCTCTCTCTCTCTCTCTCTCTCTCTCTCTCTCCTCTCTTTCGTCAATCTCGCGCTTCGACCTGGCGATATATCGCGATATACCGGGACGGGAGGAGGAACGATATAATACAGATCCGACAATCAACGTGTGAAGCGCGTAGGACGCGTACAAAACGAGCGGTTATTTCGAGGAATTATTATTTCTTGTTTCTCCGTGATTGTGTCTCAAGATCGGGAGGTAAACGAATTGATCGGACGACGCGACGAGATTGTGAGATTGCCGAGATTACTTCATCATTGCGAAACCCATGTCGCTCGCGATCTCTCTCTCTCTCTCTCTCTCTCTCTCTTTCTCATTCTTTCTCTGGGCCGTGAAATTCGCCACGCGGACAAGTCGGCGTCTTCTTTTTCATTAACGAGCTCTCGTCGTATGATATGAGTAGTACACTGCGTATACACGTAACACTGGCCTTAATTCTAATATTTTTTTTTATCTTTACACTTACGCGCCCTGCAACGAGACGCGCTCGCGTATCGCTCCGCGAGCACGCACGATGCTCTTTTGATTAGGGTTGCACGGGTCCGAGTGCGTCGCTAAACATCCGCGTGACAGGTGCGACCGTAAAATCATTTTATAACGTGATCGGTGAGCGCGGAGAAGATTTCGAGATCTTTTTGTCGCGGGGGATCGCATTCCTCGGTGGCAACGTATGTACAAGTTATCCCACAAGAAGAAGAAGTGGTTGCGTCAGACGCCAGGAACGTCCCGGGCAACAAGTATACCCAAAAGACATCTCAAGCCCGTATTATGAAATCTCTTGTTGATAAAAATGCCCCTAAAAGTGGCTCAAAACCCATTTGATTTGCGGAGAAGTCTACGGCACTTTTATCGCTAAAAGAAGAGAGAGACAATAAGTCTGTCTGCGTGCCACAGATGGACTTTCTGATGAGAACCGTCCAACGGTTTCCACATTATTATTATTATTATTGATAAGAGAGTTCGGAATACAGGTTTTGTTGTCTAAAAAGTGTCTTAGGACGTCTTAATGTTATCTGAGATATTTCCTTGAATGCGAGGCTGATTTCTCCTCGGTGTTCATTCGGGTAAGAATATATCTCGATTCTACAATTGTAAAATGATTTTACGGTAAACGCTAATTGCAAAATTATCCTTCCGACTGAGTTGCCGGAGTTGGAGTGGTGCGATTCGTGCGATTCGTGGCTCTCATTCGCGAAACTTCATCCGCCACGAAAGTATTCGACGTATTCAAATTTCCGAAACAGAGATTTAAATAAATAATAAATAAGCGGGCCGCACGAATGTGAAATTTCTCGTCGGAACTATAATTCTACGGTATTGGGGGAGGCTGCGTATTTTCGCCACGCGTCCGGCTGAACGTGCGTAAGTTCCTTTCACGCGACGGATATTTATCGACGCATTCACACTATTACCCGCGAGCGCGGGCGCGATATTCCGCGGGCATATAACCGTTTATTTATTTATATATTTATATATTAAATGTCATACATTGCAACGTAACTTAGCAGATTCACAAGCTGAGATTGGTATCATTCATCTGGATCGCTTACTACTGCACCGTAATACTCTACTCGTCTACTGTACAACATTTTACACTCATCGTACTCGTCCTTAGGTAATGTCGATTATTATCTATGCTACGAGATTATTCAAGAGTCATGAGATTGCACACCTTCGTCTGGACCGACCGATCAGTTCGCGAGCGTCGAGCTCAGATGCATTTTTTTTTCTTCTTCGTTTTCCTTCGCCTCGCCACTTTTTCATTCGCGATCTTTCGTCCATTGATTCACTCTCTATGTACAAACGTATGCGGCGTCTCGTCAACTCTGAGTTTTCTTCCAAGAACGCCGACGTGACGAGCGTCCAATTAATTACGCGCACCCACAGCCGTAACCAGACATTTTAAGTCGTCTTAATGATTGTTATAATTAATAAAATGGTATAATTTAATATACAAGGTGTTTCAGACCTCACTACTTTGATTTTACCGAGAAGTTCTCGGAGCAATTTCGAGACAATTTTTTCTTAGCGAAAATGCCGAAGTCATCTATGGAGAATTAAATTTTCAACATAACATATCTTTGTAGCTAAATCCCAAAACCAAATCCCAAACTCTGTCAAATTATTAACCGTACATTCTTGATTTTTATTCATAGAAAGATTGTCGCGTCGATTAATTAGCCATAATTATGCAAAAAAAGATTCAACTCACAAGGAGTGCATTTCGAGAAAAATAAAGATGAAAATTTGATACATAATAAAAAAAAAATAAATAGCATTGAGATTCTTCATAATCATTTAAGAAGTTAAGCATGATTAATTTTTTCTCTTTAAAAGTATTCGCAAGCTTAACTTAAAAAAAATAATAAATTAAAAAGACAACTAGTAAAAATGCATAACTAGTAGAAAATTAAAACTGTTTTTTTAATTTTAAGAGCCCACATAAGGCTTGAATCTTTTTATTTTATGCAGAAAGCTACTCATAAATAATTTTAAGCGCCCATAAGACTTGAATCTTTTTATTTTATGCAGAAAGCTACTCAAAGCTGGTAAAAAAATCTTAAAAATCATAATTTTGTAGGTTGGATCTTTCTTGCACAACTATGGCCAATTCAACGTTTAGAAACAGAATAACTGATACTGATTACCGTATTTCATATTGTAAAATTGTATTTTAAATTGTAAAGTTAATTTTTAATATTAATAAGTGCTTAAAAAATGCACATACATGCAAAAAAAGGTTACTTTAATCATTACGAGAACAAAGTGAGGCATCTTCCTTCAAAAGAATGTTTATATATCATCGCGTAATACGTACTCATTAATTTCAATGCCGTGCGAAGTGTGACACAAACCAGGCTCTGGTTACGACTTCGTTTGCGCTCTTGCTTGCTGCGAGTTCTCTCCCTCACATACACACAGACACACGCGCGCGCGCATATATATATGTACACGTAGATACCTTCGGCTTATAAGTACGAACGATTCCCTGGATCAACAAAAATCACACAACGTAATAGAGTCAACTGAGAAGTCCGATAGTCGTTCATTATATTATGTATAAACTGGCAACAATTAACAGTCCTGTTTTCAGTGCGTCGTCGTTGCGCGCTCACCGCGTTTCCTTCCTCTTCCCGGAGTCTACCTTCCGAAATCTCGCAGGGAATATTCTCGTCGTGTTTTTAGAAACTTCCTTCTTTCCCGTTGAGTGTGTCTTCTCCTTTTCAGCTTGAATTCGTAAAATGCCGCTATCTTCGAGGAATAACTCTCACATTCCGGTAACATCATCCCAAGAGCGTCGTTCTTGAAAGAACACCCTCTCTCTCTCTATCTCTAAACTATTCTCACTTGACGTCGTGGACCGACAATCTTCGACGAGCTTGATAGGCTTCCCAGACGGACAATTTCCGACAGTTTCGAGCGGTCGAGTTACCTTCATCCCTGCATTCGACCGCGAATTTTCACGTACACTCGCCGAACGCCTCCAAGAAGAGGAAGAGAAACGGCGGTGGAGCCGTCCCGTGCCTCGTGATTGGCGGCTAGCTTCGTCCTTAGAGCACCGACGCCTCGGTCCTACCGGTCGGCGGCGATGTCGCGTGTCCGCTGGCGTTGTTGTTGTTATTGTTGTTGTTGTTATTGTTGCTGGCCTCGCCGGCGTGACTCGAACAGTAGAACTTCTTGTGGGCGATGAACGTGCTCAGATAGTTGAAGCTGATGTCGCAGGATCGACAGTATCGGGGCCCGCTTTTGCTGGGGTCCAGGCTCTCCTCGGGGGGTGGAGGAGGCGGCGGCGGCGGTGGCGTGTCCTCGCGCTCCTGCTTCACCTTACTGGTGACCGCGGCGGGTGGCGGCAACGATGGCGGCGGCTGCGGGCTCTTCCTGATGTCCGTGGTCTTGCCGTTCACCTGCACCTCCGCGGGAATCTCCTCCGGCGTCGTGGCGGCTGCCGGCTCCGGCGTTGGTAACGTCGCTTCATCGTCCAACACGCATGTTATGTAATTCTCCTCCTGAAACGGAAATTCCGTCGTAGATCAGGTGTCCTTTTCGTTGGAAAGGACGACGGGGGAAAAATGGGCCGATTTCTTGCCCTCGGAGTGGCGGGTGAAAAGTAAGGTTTTTCGTAGTTTCCGAACTGACTTAATTTGATTCCGAGTTTTCAAGATTTTACACGCGGCAACAACTACTCGTGGACCACGTGGTACTTTACCTGTAGGTCAGTGCCGCGCTTCGCAAAATGCATTCTAATGTGAGTCCTCATGCCGCGTAAGGTGTTACCCTTATAACGACAGATCGTGCATCGGAAGGCCTTGATGCCCTGATGAGCGTCCATGTGGCGCTGAGCGGCTCCAGCTGTCGGACTGACGGCGCCGCAGACTGGACATCGCCAGCCACCGGTTGCACCGCTGGCACACGTGTGACTACTTCCGGGCTCTATTATCGCCTGTGATAAACCATCAATCCTCATTAATAATTGCGGCACTGATTCAGGTTTGTTATCGGTTCGATGGGAGACGCGTCTTCGCTTTATCTTCCGGGAAAGCGGAGAGATACATTTTTCCCGATTAATTATTCCGATTCTTCTTAAACGGCGGTAGACGGGACTGAAAGTGACAAGATGCTTCCAAACTATAAGATATACAAGTGTGATGCATGAATATTTGCAATTATCACCTTGAATATCTCCGTCAGGTGTGACTCTTTCGAGCCATTAAATTATTATGAGAATCTTACCTTGCATTTGGAACAACGCGCGTGATGCTCTTGGGACTCGGGCCTCTTGGGGCAGTAGAACGCCTGATGGGCGACCAAGTTGTCCATAGAGGCGAACTTGATGCCGCACGCGGCGCAGATCAGCTGGACCAGTGGCGGAGAGGGTGTGCCGGGAGGCGGCGGGCTGTTGCTCACCGTGGTCTCCCTCGCTTGGCAGTAGTGCTTTTTGTGAGCGACGAAATTCTCGTGCCGGCAGAACACGATGTTGCATTCCTTGCACCTGCACGTGGAAAATCAATTACTGTCTATGAGTAGTAGAGGAGACGGTGACCCTTGTTATAGGTATTATAGCCCCTCTCTCAATATCTCCACTATTAGGTGGCGAATTCTAGCGATTACTCGTGGAATCGTTTATTTGTTAGACCGCTGTTACAGTGGCGGCAATTATAGTCGGTGCTTGTTATATAACGCATTCTTATTCTTAAGTATTTCGAAACGTTTTCAAAGTACATTTTAGTGTTTAATCACACACACTTTCTCATCCCTCGAAACAGTTATTCGACAAGTTGATTCTCATCTATGGTTCACTGTGAAAATGTCCACTATTCACTGTCAAGTGCCATTCTGTCTGCACTGCTGATTGAACAACACTTTGACGAATGTAATCGTTCAGTTTTCAATTTAAAATATTGATTATTGTACAAAATGTAAATAGGGGACCGTAGTAATACTATCTTTTCCTCTATATAAATATCTCTTTCAAAATTAATAGAAATGGAAACAGAGAAAGGAGAGAAGGACTTCGCGATTTAAATGAGAAAATGTGAAAACCTCCAAACGAGAAATACTAGAAAAATATTCGAGATCTAAGGACATTGTGAGTGAAAAAATTTCAGTTTTAACCGTAAAGCAGTAAGCAAATTCATCAACCACAGTCGACTATTTTTCTTGCCCCGAGAATCTTAGAATAATCAACCGTAATTGAACAATTTATTTTACGGTTACGATTAAAATTTTTTCACGTGCAATGGCCTTTACGGTTTCAAATCTTTTAAAGTTCTGAGCATCAGAAGAATTCGAGGCTCTGGAAATCGTAACTTCCGCAAATTCAGCATAAACTCTCGTTTGAGATCTGAGCAAAAGGAATGGAAAAAATCGGAGTTTCTCGAATTTCGAGAGAAAGTACAGAACGTTGCAGAAATCCCGACGCATTTCGAATTACGAGGCACCTCGTAAAACTCACCTGGACACACCCTGCTTCACCAACACTCCCGGAACAGGGGGCGGTGGCAGGTCGTTTAATCTCAGGGGAATTTCGGTGGCCGGGGATGGCGCGACGGCAGCCGTCTGTGTTGGCCCGATGGAACTCGTTCTGGGGCTACCGCTGCTTCTGGACCTGGGGCTGCCCGGAGGCGGAGGCAGCGACGATGGCGCCGGTGACATCCTGTTCTCTTTTTCGTCCTGGTGGCCCGGTGATCTACGCACGCTGAGATCGAGGGGTGCCGAGGCAGATGGCGACGTGGACGCCATAACCACCGACGCCGGTGTCGAGGGCTTGTTCGCCGCCTTCAAGACAGCTGGCGGCTCCATTGACGCGTTCTGCGTCACGGGAGGAAGACCCCTCGTTACCGGTTGAAGCGTACCTGCAGACGTGATGTCGCGTCGGGGATCACTTAACACGTCCTGACCTCCCGGAGATCGTTGGGATAACATCTTTCTAAATCCTAATCTCAACAAAATCCACAAATCTCGAGAACCATGTCTGAGGTAAACCTCGCTATCACATTTGTTGGCTGTAAAATTCTTGTAAGATTGCGGACTTCTCTCAAACACGTAGAATTGTCGAAAGCGTTTAGAAATGCTGAGATACTGGTACGAACCGTCCGGCAGAAGGTAGTACACTGTATCGGGAAGCGGAAGAGCCGGCGCGGCGAGAACGCTCGCCCCGCGGAACACCGTGTATGGCAAGACGATGGGAGGGTTGGTAGGCAGTGCCAGGCAAGGTTGCGGTGGTGGTGAGTCACCGGGACTCGAACTCGTCGGCGGAGATGTTTTGACCGACGACTGCGGCGTCGACGGCGTTGGTGCCGTGTCCTTCACCACGTGCCTGGTACTGCAGTAGTGCGTTTTGTGTGCCCTACAAAGCAATGGCAACGTTAAGAAAATTCGTCTTGCAAATGTAAAGAATGCGAGAAATTAAAAGCTGCAATTAATTTTATACTGTCAAATAATGATTCAAAATTTACTTAATATAAACAATATAAATATAAATGTAATAAAACAGTTATAAAATATATATATATATTTTTCTTAATAAATAATAAAGAATAAATGAAACGATTATATCATAGGTGACTATTTCATAAGATATTAATATAATTATAATTGGGATCGTTTTGTATAATTAATTTGATTAGTTATGAAATTATGTAATACTTCCAGAATAGATATTCTCATATATTTATATGAGAATATCTATTCTTGATTTAAAACTAATTCTTTTTTTCGTGTATATAAATGTTTACACACCATGTGGTTCATATCCTACGGATGTTTAATATCCTACGGATTCGCATAAATTCCCTCGGATTTCCGCGGGAATTCACCCGACGGGAAAGTCCAGCAGGAAAAATTGGACTATGAATACCGATCATGAGATCCGAAGAGATGCCTTCCAATTCGTCCTCGATGCGTCCACTCACCTGTACGTCTTCAAGGAGCTGAATCTGATGTCGCAGTTCCTGCAATATCTCTCAGCCTCCTCGTTGAGAGAACCGTTGGATGCGGTGGTTTGGCCGGCGGCGGGGTTGCTGGCCGGGGTCGGAGTCGCCGCCGGTATCGTCGGCGGCGCCGGCGATGCCGCGTGCATCCGCATGTGACGGTTCAACGACACTTTCTTATCCGCACTGTACGAACAGTGAGGACACGCGTACGCCTTCCGCACCTCGTACTTGCCGGACTTGTCGTCGTCCTCATCGTTCGTCGTATCCTCCTCCAAACGTGGCCGGTGGGCGCAATAATAAGTGCGATGTGCTTCCAAGGTGCTGGCCGAACTGAAGCGTATTCCGCAGGGCGGACAAACCAGCGCGGTCGGCCTCGCAGGCTCCACCGTAATCGTCTCTTTGCCGTCGGTCGGCAGGACAAACAGACGACCGGACGCGATCGCTGGCAGGATCATAGACGATTGGTCAGTACAAGGATAAGATAGGTCGAAGCTGGGAGGAACATTTTTCCCGAAAAACGAGAGGTTGAATCGTAAAAATAGATAAACCGATCTTTTCGAAAAGAGGGGGAAGGATAAAGGTGGGAGGGTTCCACTGCTGTTGCTAGGGCGCAATTTTTTCATAGATCGTGCAAGAAAGAATTCGAAGATGAAGAAGAAGAGATAATCGAGATCGAAGATGAACGAGAAGAGTCGAAGATAAACGTAAGGATTCGCGTCGACGACTATCGGCAAGAACGTTTGATTGTGATGATGCGATGAATGAAATCTAACCATTTTGGAGGCCAGCTGGCAACGGCGGGGTCGGGTTCGGCGGCGAGGTGTTCTCGGGCTTCACGGTAAGAGCGGCGACGGCGGCGGGTCTCAAGGCGGGATCCGTCGCCAGACTAGCATTGAGTCTCAGTCTTGGTGCTGCCTCGTCTTCGGGCTTCATTCTCTTGGCTTCGGTGGCTGACTCATCGGACCGTCTCGCGGAGTCCTCCGAGTCCCTGCGAGAGACAGCGTCTCGTTTTCTGGTGGAAGACGACGAGGAGGACGACCTCGGTTGACACTCCTCCTCCTTGACCACCACATGATCCTCCTCGATGTCCTTGGGACTCGATTCTCGCGTGCGTACGCTCCTGGACGGTGCATGGCCTCTTATGCTCCTGGCGACCTGTGGTGCAATATATAACATTTTTATAATATCAAATTCAAATTGAATAAAAAAGGAAGGTCAATCTATGCGATATCAATTTTATATTGTTAAAATTATATTGTCAAAAATTGTCCGAATTTCGAAATGACATAAAAAGATCGAAATAATGTTTGCACCAATTATCGAGACAAGATTTTAATATAAAATACTTACTAACTGTCTTATCTATTTTTAATTGTAATACATAACTGTCAAAACTAGTGAGAAAAAGATTTGCCAAAAGTCTCAAGTAAGCAAAAAGTGAGAAAAGTGATTTTTTTCTTCAAAGTGAGACGTTTTGAAATAAGTGAGGAAAAGTGAGAAAAATGAATCGCTCCCGTGGCTGACAAAATTCACTCATCTCTCTGAATGCTTCTCCTGAATGTATCTCCTGAGTGTCTCTGCACGCGACAGACAAAATATAAAAATAATTATATCTCAAAAAGATAAAAATATATAAAAATTTCAGAAATCATTAAAATATATATGCGGTAACTCAAAAAGAATAATCATTTCAAGATACCATTTGAACTTTTTATTTAAGTGAAGACCGATATAACCCGATACGTGTTGATGTTGCTAAAAATTCCGAGACAAGTTCAAAGATCAATCGTTGGCAGATTAACGAGTTAATTAAAATAAACTCGAGAAACAAGATTAGACGCACCTCTAGGTCATCTGTGAGGTTGGCGAGGCGTTTCCTAGCGTCTTCGGGGAGTACACTAAGACGTGATCTAAGGTCCTCGTTGGCGGAATTGGCCGAGGACGAAACAGGATTGAGTCTCGGCGGGGGAGGTAAGCTGGAGTCTTCTTCGACCACCGGTGCAACGGGACTTGACACCGCTGATCCGCCGCCATCCACGCCGCTGCTCACCGACGGAGTCTTCTCCGAGTCACTCCACTCCTCATCCTCCCCTGAAAACAACGGAAAGATGCTCGTTAGTTATGACGTTGAATCCATTTGGCGACAAGACGCAAAACTAAGAGATATTCTCACAGATTATCACGTCGACAAATCGTCAAGTTCTTTCGACGCTTTCGAAATAGCATAATCGATATCATCCCGGAAACGCGCGAGATAAAAATACGAGGAATTTATGAAATTAAAGCCCGATATTATAATAATTAAATTCGTTACGGTTGAGCGAATTTGAAGTGTCTGAGGAATTGAATCTTGCAAGTTGAAAATTTCGGAAATTTCGGAGACTCGAAGAGGGACGAGGCAAGTTTGCGATTCGCAAAATCCACGCTTTATCTCTAAGCCCCGAGCCCTTCATTTCACGTGGATTCAGATCGGTGTTCAGATATTAATACTCGACGATGTTGACCCCGCCGACTGTACATTTCCTCAGGAGTCCTGCCAGAGTCAGTCGCAGGTAGTTCTCGGGACTATCATGAGCGAGGCGGAAGCTGAGTGCAGAAATCTTCGTCTCGGATGAGAAAGAGAATGATGCAAGGGCGACGAGCGCGCGTGATGCGGCTCTCCGGCCGTCCGGATTCCTAATGGACCTTCGGTGTACCAGCCCTTGCGTACCCTAACGTTCCCTTTCCTCCCGCGGTCGGTCTATCCCCGTCCAACACGACCACCAATTGCACCCTTCGCACGCCTCTCACCCCCACCGGGCTCTCGCGTGCTCGGTATGCTTGCGCAGCCTGTCGAATAGTTCAGTGTTTGAGGACTGGTCCCGGCGAACAGGGTACGTAGGGTGATAGACCATTGATCCTAGGATTCGATCTTGCGATACCGAGCGATTATCGAGAAAGCCACGGGTGTCGTTCACGAACGAGAAGAGATATATTCGTGAAATATATGGAAAAAAGGAGTTAGCTGCCCATATGTATGATACAACTAAAATTTACATTGAGAAAAAAATTGCCACGTTTAAGCATAATATTCGTTAATGTAAATATTTGCTCAGGAGTATCGGAATAGTTTATTTTATTATATAAATATTTAAGTGAATATTTAGTATAAAGTAAAATTTATATAAAATTATTTATATAAATATTTATATATAAATTTATTTGGATTTGTTAAGCAAATGTTATTTGAATGTAGCACTTTTTCTTCCTTTCAATGTGCTGCATTCAAGTAATATTTACTTAATCCAAATAAAATAAACTACTCTAGACTACCTCTTAGCAAATATTTAAACGTAGCATTTTTTTTCAGTGTAATTACTAGACTTAGCTTTCAGCTGTGGGAGCTAAGAACTAGACACAGAACTTAGCTGAATTAACTAAACTTCAGTAGTATTATAGGACAGCTAATTTTTACCTACGAGAGCTAGTTTCTAGCTTTCATAGGTAAAAATTAGCGAGAGCTGATTCTTTCTTCCGTGTGAGGGAGTTTCGATTGTGAAGAGAGAGTGAGGGAGTGCATTTCGGTTTAACGAGAAATTACTATCTAAAAAAAAGAGAAAGAGAGACTCGAAAGGAGCGAACTCAATGTTGAGAAGATACGTCGAATTTAGATAAGTCCGAACTGAAGTTTTCTTTTTTCACACAGACGCGGTCGCGGATATACTCCCGTTCCGCCACGAACTCTCCGATCGTGGAAATAATAGGAGAAGCAGCGGAAATATTCTGAGAATGTGCAACCATCCCGATAACGCCGGGAGTGGGAGCTATCATTTCCCGATTTAGTCGTTCCGAAGGAAGAAAAATGGCTTTATCGTGGCTGACGTATCTCCCGGCAGATTAAAAATACCCGGGGAATTATCGAGACGCGTTCTATTCGCGACCATTTATCGAGAATCTCCGGCGGGATCGGCGGCGAGTATATTATTTTAATCGCGAAATCCTCATATTTTCATCCATTAATCACTGCGCGTCGCGCTAATAAAAAGGAAGAATCAAGAAAACGAAGGAAAAGGCGAGAGATACGGTGATACAATATTCTCGCTTACTGCAGAGAATCTATGATAAGATCGTGCATACGTTTCTCTTTCTCTCTCTCTCTCTCTCTCTCTCTCTCTCCCTCTTTCTCTCTCTACCACGTATCGAACTTCCTCTGCGGATCCTTTCCACCCGGCGATCCTCTCAAGGACCTCTAGGAGACTCGACTCGATCCAGGTGGCTCGTCGTCGAGAGATCGAGACTCGAGAATTACCCGGATGCTTTAATTGCCTCCTCGGGCGAGGAGTAGGAGCAGCGGGAGCGGCAGGGCGAGCAGGAGGAAGGAGAGTGACAGAGGGGGAGGGGGAGCGCGAGGGAGGACGGAGAGATGCCTGAGGAGATTGGGCAAAGGGTTGCAGCGCACTCGTGGGCTATCCCGAGCTCGCATCTACACTCGGGTCGTGTTCTCTCTGCTTCTCTGTAAATAAGCGGTCATCGATGGATCGGCCGGCATGGCAGGCAGCAGGGCTTGGCAGTCTTCTCCCTCCCTCCCGCCCGCCAACCCGGTCTATTTCCGTTCCTCTTGGTCGGCCGATCGGCCTTAATTGCGCAGCCATGCATACGTTCGTAGCAGCGAGCCGTCTGCGAGTTCATCTGCGACCCTCGTCCGCTCGCTCCTTCTTCGTGATCTCAGACGTACGAGATTGGAGGATAGATGATAGAAAGACAGAGAGAGAGAGAGAGAAGCAGAGGCCGCGGATAGATCTCTCTTTTATCTCGTGAATGAAGAGAGAGAGGAGGAGGGAGGTTACAGATAGATCTCTTTATCTCACGCTTAGTCTCCTCTCCGCCAGGGTTCTATTATTGAGCGAGAGATCTCGAGATGATCTCTCCGAGTTTGCCGGATCGGGGCCCGGGGATCTCGGAGGATCGAAGCGCCTGATAATCCGCGGATCCGAGCGCCCGAAAATCCATGGGTACCGATGATCTGAGGATCTGACGCTTCAAATAGCCCGGGTCTTAGAATCCGAAGGACTCGCGGAGTGACGAGCGAAGCTCGAAGCTACGGATACTCGTAGCTTCCAGTGCGCGACGTCCCGGAGAGATCGCGAGCGTGAAACTTTGGAAAATTCGACGTTCCGCAATTGCCACGACTAAAGAGAAACGGAGGAATCCCAATCCGGAAATGCGGATATTCCAGGACTCGCGTGGAAAGACCGATCGGAGCGAACTCGACAGTGCGAATTTATCTCACTTGAAGTTTCCTTCGGACAAAATAAAAATCTCCGAATTCTCAGAATATGATATAAAAAAAAAAAAAAAGAAAAGAAAAGAAAAGGAAAGTGAATCCTGATGAAACGCCGAGATTCCAATGTACCGTTTCAGCGGCCAATTAAAAACTTGGTCGCGCGATAATCGCAATTGACCTCACAGACTCCCCTGCTTTCTTGTTTTTTTTTCTACCGAACGCCGCTTTGCCGCCGAGGGCATTCTTAATTGCGAGCGGTGCATGCATATGTACGCGCACACGCTGCGAATCGAGAGGGCTGCGCGGGCCTGTTGCAACGACAACCACCTACCTATACGAGCGGCAAGCAACCACCTCGGTCTCGCGCGCTCGGGGTGCAATATATCTCGAAAAGAGGTGGCGGGGAGGCTGGGGGAGGCAACACGGCCGCCATTAACATATCCGTGGCCTGATAAGCCTTTCTCGGAACCGATACCGCGCCCGTGTACACCTTCGGCCCCGCTTTATGCAAGAAGCGAGCAATCGCAGCCCGCAGAGCCACAACTCCGCGCGCAACGTCGCTGAAGAACGGAGCCGGAAGCTCGTACTTTCGATCCCCCGCTCTCGGCCGACGATACGATATGAGCCTAGGGCCCTTCCGATACTCCGTCCCGCTAATGAGCCTTAAATTCCGGCCTTCGTTCAACTCATTCGCTCTCCCTCCCTTGATGCGAGCGATGCGTCACGCAACGATAAGTTCGTCAAATGTATCGTTACGCGGTCACTCGAAACGCAGTCAGTTTACGTTCGGGGATCTCCTGGATATTTAGTGTCTCCGGATTAGGAGAGATCTTTAGAGCTTAAGGAGGCTCGCCCACTAAGTGCCGCATTTCCAGTGACGCATCGAAGGGGTTATTCATGAATTTAGCACTTATTAAACAAAATTACGTTCCTATTTGTTTATTTCACTATTCGAATAATAAATATTATCTTGAAACGAGAAGTAAGATCGTTGAAAAGTGAATACTTTACGAGACATTTTACTTCTTATATTGATATTTTTTTAGTATAAAAGATATGAAATATTTTGTCAAGTGTTCACTCTTCGATAATATTATCCCAACACTTTTGTGGAATTGATCAGTATAAGTAAACGTAAAAATACCTTAAAAAAATGTACCGCATTTTGCAAATGCATCGATGCACCAACGTACATTGATAAATATTAATAATCGATTTCTCTTATATTATTATGAAAGTATATTATTAAAAAAGCATTAATGAAAGGTGATGTTATCGAAAAGTGAATACTTTATAATAAACTTCATATCTTATACTTATAAAAATATCTTATATCTTATAAAAAAATATTTGAATAAAAAGCAAAATATCTCGAAAAGTATTCATTTTTCGATGACCTTACCCTAGTATTTTTATACATGGAATGAACAGAGAAATCAGTCTGCGTTAAAAAAAAAACGAAGTATTTCTATTAAAAAAGTGAAGTTGACTTAAGGATTATTGAAATTTCTGTTACGCATTGTTAGTTCGATTAACTTTTGTGTCATGTATACGTTACAGGTTTATCTTATATTTAGTCAATCGGTCGAACTCGCTTGAACACCTTGCTCTACCTACAGTAGTTACAATTTTAGTTGCAGTAGATAATAAAGATAAAGAATAATATTCTAACATTCCAACCATGTTCTAACATTCCATTCTATAGGACAAACCAAGAAACTAGGTATTTTAAAATCTCCGGATTGTCGGAATTATAAGTCCTTAATATTCTATCATTTTTTTACGGCAAAAATATTTACGTTCTTACGATTATATGTATAAATTACGT